AGTTTGTTAAAGGGAATATGCAAAGAAACTCGATTAGATTGAAGAGTCCAGTTTAACTCAGCTCCCCTCATTATCTCACCATTGTGTGACATTAAAGCATCATTCAGTGTTTCGTCTCCCCTCCTATTGGAGTTAACCTTGGAGTTAAAGCATTTAGATTTTGAATATTCCTCTTGGGTAAGTATAGGCTGTTCCCTCTTGGCTTTGTTATTTTGTGTTTCCACACACATCTTTGTTTTGTTTGAGTAATTATGTGTAGTTCTTTCAAAGGTCTTTTTCAAGGAGTCTACCTTATTATTTCTTGTTGACAGTTGCTCAAAAATAAAATTACCGCCTCTGTGGTTAGAAGGCATTGCGTTCCTATAAAATCTGAGGTTCACTCATTTCCTAAATACTCAAGCTGACCCTCTTTAGGAAAAGATGAGGGAATTGGGAAAGCCTTGATAGCCTCTGGGAAGAATCACACCAATAAAATGATTTAACCACAGAGCTTCACCCTGAGTGAAGAGAGGAAGAAAGATCTAGCAATTACTGTTGTTCAATCCCAGTTTCTAAGTTCCGTTCCAGAACATCATGGCCGATTGAAATGTCATTAGAACTTGTTTTGTTTATATATTATTGATTGTAGTCATTGATTCCTTGCTCTTGGTTGCTAAATACTGCACAATTTAAGACTACGATGGTTTTGAAGGAGCTGACAGTCCTGAATTTATTCTGTGTCGCTTCCTTCTTTGACCTATTTTTTTGCTGTCTTTTGATTGCTTTCACAATGGTAAGTGGAGAAGGTTGCCTCTTGTGCAATAAATAAAACAGTGCAAAAGTATTTATAATTCCACGGTCCGTAAAATCATGTGGCCGCATTTCAGGTGCTTGGTAACTGGCTCACATTTTTGACCAGTTGCCAGGCACCCTGCGATCATGTGATCGCTATTTGCAATCTTCTCTGCCAGCTTCCCCAGAAAGTCAATGGGGAAGCTGGCAGGGAAAGTTGCAAGTGGAGGGGACAGAGGGAAGCTGAAATCCTTCTGTGGGCTGCAGGAATGTTTGAGAGTGAAAGGGCTGCCTATCAGGAGGATTTCAGCTCCACACAGAGCTGAAATTCTTCAGCAGGCAGCTCTTTTGCTCCATGCACAGAGGGGAGGGGAAACCCTTTGGTGGGCTGCAGGAATGTTTGAGTGTGAAATCCTTCAGCAGGTAGTTCTTTTGCTCTGTCCACTTAATGACCCAGGAGATTGCTTAACGCCTGCAACTGGGAGTGGTCGGATTCCAGTCGTTGAGCAAAACAGTCATATGGGTGTCTTGCTTAATGACTGTTTTGCTCAACAATTGATATTCCAATCCCAATTGTGGAGGGGACAGAGGGGAGCTGAAATCCTTGTTAAATGAGGACTATCTGTACATTTTTAAAAAGTTAGTACAGAAGAAGAGATTAAAGAATAACAAGGTTTTTTTAAAGTTGGGTTTTGTTTTATTTCTTAAATATGTTGATAGCCTTTGGGATAGGGTCTGAAAGAAAGTTACACTGCAACTGTATATACACATACCTGGGTGGAAGAGGCTTCACTGAATTAAGTGGGACTTAATTTTTGAGTAAGTAAGCATAGACAGCCAGTTTGGTGTAGTGGTTAAGGTACCAGGCTAGAAACTGGGAGACCATGAATTCTAATCTCAGGCATGAAGCCTGCTAGGTGACCTTGGGCTGTCACTCTCAGCCCTAGGAAGCAGGCAATGGCAAACCACTTCTGAAAAACCTTGCCAAAAGAACTTCAGAGACTAGTCCAGGCAGTCACCAGGAGTCAAAAACTAACTTGAAGGCACACACACACAAGTAAGCATAGGACAACATGACTAGCAACACAGAAATATGAACACTAATTCTATACCCTCTCTTGCCCACTACAAAGGAAACTTTATGATTGAATATTCTGTTCTCAATATTTTTCCTTCATTTGCGCTGTATTCAGATACATATCCTTAGACGTAAAGGTCTCAGCATTGAAAAGTGCAAGTAATGCATTTAGGCACAATATGTCCACTAGTCCACTGGAGTTGGGCAGCCAATAAATTTAAATAAATAATAAATATCTAGAAGTTCAGGTAGATGGCAGCGCTGAGCCAGACTTAGCTGAACTTTGAAAGCAGTTCAGGGGAAGACCTGGTTAGAAGCTGGATGGGAAATCAAGAAATACCAGGGCTATCATCAGGATGGGAATTTAAAAAAAAAAAAAATCTGGAAAAAGACAGTATCAAATAAATTCCACTATATGGATGGATCCATAAAGTTGTTAGGAGTCAAGATGAAGTTGAAGGGGACTTTATACCTAAAAAAAACCCTCTCTAGTGTGAGGAAATGATTGTGAAATACTATAATACTGTAATGTTACAAAACAGATGAGATTTACAGTATGCATCTATGGTAACTGAAAGAACTGTTGAAAAAATTAGACACATAACTGCTTAATGAATCATATTACTGCTATTACAGCCACATAAAAATCGCTTGGAGTCCAAAGGTTATGTATGCAATATCAAATATAAAATTCTACTTCCGTTTAGTCAACTGAAGAACCTGAATGGAATGGACTTGATGGTCTAAACATTTCTGGTAATTAATTTTTTTTAGTTATCAATCTTGACAATATCTTAAAATAATTATAGTGTGGCTACAGATGTATTACAGAAACATAAATAATTTTACTTTGTAAATTATGTTTCCTGTTCTGAGGAGTACCTGCTGAATATTATATGTTCTAACTTGAAAGAAAGGAAGCTGCTGGAGACTTTTTATGTTCAATCTCTTCTAGACTATAGAAGAAAAAACTTAGAAAAATAAGACAGAATCTTGTATTCGAAATACATACCCAAACATGAAGGACTCAATGACGTTTGAAGAACAAACAGAACAAATTGTGGAAGCATTATTTACTAGCCTTTTCTCTAAGAAGCAAGTGTCACAAGTAACTGATCGATGCCTGAAGATCCAGTATGAAGGCTTTTTTGAAGGTAAAAACACTTTTTTGTGGAGAAGGAATTTTGCGGGAGGTGGGGGGAGTAGCTTGATATTTCCCAAATTGTGAAGTCAGAACCAGCCGCTGGACCTTGCATGGAGTGAAAAAAGTTTGCTACCGCAGTTTGAAGTGTTTTTTTATTAGAGACCAAAACTAGTTTCTTTAGATGATAGTGCATAGACACTAGTGGAAACCACTAAGTTAAAGAATTTTAACCATTTGCTCTCTAATTCATTGGTTACTTTTAAATAAATATTTAAAATTCCAGACTGAGATTTAAAAATGCCTTGCTTCTGAATTCTGAAATATATCTGTAATATCAAAAATCTCCAGAAATCTAACTCATAATATTACTCCAAAGCACAGTTTAAAAATTGAATAGTCCTGTCTTAAATCTACTGCTTATTAACATTAGTTAACATTAGTTGATTTAATGTGTACTAAAGTTTGTGGATTTTGTTAATTCTTCTGTAGGAGCTACCATTTTCAGCAAGGGTGTGTTTGCCTCAGCAGCATCAGCATGGGTTGTGCTGCCTGGGAAAAATGGGAGTTGTAGTCAAGTACATATTTAAAACATCAAATTGGGACAGTTGGTTGGCAGCGGGACTTTAAGGAGGCCGATCTTAAAACACAGACAAGCACCTATAACAAAGTCAGTCCTTGAGTTTCCATAATCCTAAACTGCCAGACTCCTGATTCGGAAAGAATCAGTTCATGAATTACTTTCCTGTGTCATGGCTGCAAACAGGAACACATGTAGGTAGTACGGAAATGGTGGTGTTTTCCATAGCCATTTAGTACTGTCTTTGCAGATGTTACCACCAGTGAGGTAAGACATGAAAGTGAGCAGAAGCAGTCCCCAAATCCAATAGTAACATAAGAATTGGCCCCAAAATTGAAACTGAAACCACATAGGTCAGTTCATTCTGTGCAATCACTTGTGAAATAATTTCATGAGGGTCTACAAATTCTGACTCAGAGACATCAATTGTAAAGCAGATAATTTAGTCTGAGCATGCTGTGTGCCATTTTGAGATTTACAACCATTACATACCAAGATGTCATCTGTACAATGTATCTATTACTTGGATAACATCCATTAACTTTCTCTACTGCTTTTATTTTCACAATTATGCAAGCTAGGCTAGTTGAATGAGTGTCATAGTTGAGTAGAAACTTGAACTTTTTATCTATCCTTAGGCTGAAATGTTTGCCATCCAATTGTAAAATCAAGTCAATGGATCAATTTCTTCAATTGGATGATTTGTATTTTTTACCCTGCCTTGGGATGCAATAGAAGGATCAACAAATAGATAGCTACCCAAAGATTGATGCCATTTCAATCTGGAGAAAGGCTTTCATACAGAAAATGGTAGTGCTATGGATATAAATGGCCATTTTAGACTGATGATATTAATGTATTTAATATGCTAGGTATTGATGATCCGTGCTCTAATGCATAGTGTGACTCTCCTTACCTTGTATCACTAGATAAGAAATGAATATATGTAATGTTTGCGCAATTTGCTTGCAAGTTGAGAGGATTACAAGGTTCACATTTCAATGTGTCTACACTAGGTAAAATCCATTTATCACATATCACATAAGAAAATTCTAACTTGTACGCAGGGAAATGTTCAGATGGGAAAAGCAACCATATGAGTTCTTTGCCACATGAAGCTCCCTAGTCTTGTATTTGCAGTTCCTATAACCACCCAGGATTATGCCACCAAATCTCAGTGACACAGTGGGAATTTTCATTAGTGTGGTTTTAATTTAAGTTATTTCAGATTTGAAAGAGATGTATTAAACCAGTGTGAAGCTTATACAACTGTGTGCTGGCTTGTGATTAAAGCAAAAGCCAACACTGCTCCCAAGTTTAAAAATGAAACAGGCTGAAAATAATAGTCCTCAACAACTCTAGGGATATCAGTGGGTATTGGCCATGCCACGTCCTGCCCCACTCCAACCAGGCAAAAATGCACACATCTGCCACTGAAGCCATGGAAACATCTGAAGAAAAAGGCATTATAAGAGGAGAGATAATAGAGCGTCCTTTAAAATGTAAATTTTCTTTGCAAACTATGAAACCAAGATGTGATCAAAGTAAATGGATGTTTGAACTAGAATTTCCAAACTATTTGGGCCTTATTTTTAGGCTGATGATTTAGAAAGACTGTGTGTAGGGATGAATGATGGCACCCCAGGGGATTCTTTCTCCCCCTGATAGAATTTTAAAGCAATGGTCTTACTGCCATCTGCCTTCTTTATCTGCCACACTGGCTCTGGTACCTTTCTCCCTCTGCCTTTCTGTAGATGTTTCCCTTTTCAGCTCTTTGTTTTCTGAGATAGAAAACTTTGTAGTACACGTAGTCCTCTGGTTACGACAGCAATTGGGACTGGAATTTCTGTTGCTAAGTGTAGTGGTTGTAAAATGCAATGTCACATGACTGCATCACTTAGTGATGGGAATCCTGGCAGTCCCGGTTGCCGCTGTAACTCCAGGACCATGCAGGTCATTAAGGGGGAAGAGACGGGAGTTTCAGCTGTGGGTGAGAGCTATGGGTGGGCAGGGGAGAGTCACGGGCAGGCACTACAGAGCACAGGCGGGTGTGCGGGTGCCACAGGGGGGTGGGGGAGGTGCCACAGACAGGCATTACAGAGGGCAGGCAGGCAAAAAAGCAGTGGGAGAGGGAGCAACCTGCTGCCTCCTGCTGGCTTCCCCATTGATTTTGCTTATAGGAAATCAGCGGGGAATGTTGGAATTGCAGTCACGTGATCGCAGGGGTGCTGCGACAGCCACAGCTTCGCAGACTGGTTGTAAGTCCCCCTCGTTCAGTGCTTTTGTAACGTTGAACAGTCACAGCCACAGGAATGAGTGGTCATAACCTGAGAGCTACCTGTACTTTTTAAATAGGCAAATTTAAATTCCCTTTATCTAAATTTAAAATGTAGACAAATGTTATATGGGACATGTCAAAAGGATTAGAATTGAAATGGAATTGAAATTGAATTAGAACATTTTTGTACAGAGACAGAAACTGTAAATCTGTATTGGCTTTCTTTTAACCAACAGCTGATTCTGCAAGCAATTTTAATGCAGTTCATATTGCCAACATCCTGCGATCCCTAGGAGATCAGTATAATGCTGAGTTGGAGGGAGAGCAGAGTGTACAGGCACTTATTGCAGAGAAAAGCAAAGCAAAGGTAATTACCTTCCTAAGCATTCTGGTCAAAACACTTTTAGTTTACCATTAACTAATAAAAATCAGCTATGTAGATGGAATAAATCATGCCAGCATACTTTTCTGCTAGCTAACATATGGGAGTAAAGCACTTTACACTGGGTAATTTGATCTGCCCTAGTTTGATATGTTTTTAATGTTGGTTTCTTATCTATCCTCTTTTTTACTTTCAGGAGCAGTCTGGTGATTATAACTAAGTGAGATTTATTTAGAGCAACAGATTAATATAGCAAACAATACTTAATTATAAGGTTGAAGGAACTGGAAATGCCACTTATGCACCTGTTCTTTCATCTGATTTCTTTCAATTCTCACAAGAATTCACTAGTCTTTTCCATCCAAGGTAATCAATTATTGCCCTGTTTAGGGCGCTAATTAAAAGGATTTTGCAGTATCTTGTAGAAATCAGCATTAACTGATTTCTTTATCCATGATGGTTCTACTTTGTGTTGCTACTGTCTAGTGATTAGCTTTAGTCAGGATTAATCGTGATGGTCTGTCCAAATTTTTGAAAAAAACCAAGGCAAGAAGTCAAATGGTTCAAGTCCAAAATCAGGAGAGCACTCTTCCAGTGAAGGCAATAAACAAAAATATGATCAAGATCCAGCCCAGGGATCCAAACAGAGAACTTGGTGTCAGAAATCAAGGTTCAGAGGGTACAGTAACAAGATGAGGTCCGTTCCAGGCCTGAATTTTCCAGAAAGAAAGAAAGAGAAGGTTTGGAATCATGGCACAAAAAATGGCTGTCATGGAAGTTGTTTTAGTGATTGACTGTTATTAGGCAGGGTTTTGATGCTAGAAACCCCCGTCTTCCAGCCAAATACAGCTAATTCCAGAAGCAGAGGTACTAGAGGGCACCCCCTCTTAAGAAGACTGTGTTCCAAGATAGCCTTTTTAAAACAATCTGGCTCTCTTTCCTATCTCTGGCTTCCAGTGTAATGCTGTTGATTGTCTTGGAGACTGTGCCTTTATGTTACGGTCTGAGTCCAGAACTGAAGTGTGGAGGATGATTTTACCGAGATCTCACATTAAGCTTTGACATCATTATATCATATCTGCTTGTTTCTTCACCCAGCTCTTGATCTTTATCTTTCTTCTCAGAAGGAGCTGGTCTGAAGGATCATGAAACCTAGACTATTCTAAGCTTTGATTGAAGTACTTTAAGCATTATGACTTTCAAACAGTTTTGTTGCACAAGGTAGAACAAAACAGATGTTTGATCCTACTGACAATGTTTTACTTAAATTTTAAGGTGTACCAGAGCCGTTCCCACCATAAATACCTATTGTTTTATAGTAGTTGCATTGTTTTGAAATATTCACTCTATGTTTGCAGCCAAAGAAATTCAGCGAAGTGGCAGAATCTCTCAGCAGGACTTGGAGTAGTCAAACTCCTGGGCTGGAGTATGAAAGAGCTTTCCTAGCTGTTGCTGTGAAGTTGTTTGAGTACTTTATAAAGAAAACTGTTGTAGGTTCTGGCCAGATAAACCTACTCGCAGAGGCAATCAACACAAATGCTGAAGTGAGAAGCTATATTGAAAGGCAAGGTGGTTGGGTAAGTTAAGTAAATGTTTAACTGTAACTTAGCATTCAGGTAGACTGTGTTCAAAGGCCAACCTTCAGAAGCTCATAAAAATAGAAAAAAAATTAACTAGTAGAAAAACATGAACTACTATTCCATTAATTTCAGTGAACAAAATCATTAAACAGCCAATGATTTTGTTCAGTGGAAATTCTGACTGTTATAGTCCCAACCAATCTGGAAGCACCACATGGAAAACCTTCAGTTGACCTATTTCATTTAAAAGATTTATTTCCTGGTTTTTAACTGAAATCTTTTAAAATGTAAACGATTTGTATTAATGCAAAATAATCCACTCCTTTCTCACATGCACATAGGTGCAGAGTCCTTTGTGTCCTGATTAATGGATGACATTAATCTGCAATCCCAAAATAACTAGCAGAAGGAGCTGATTGCTGATGGCAGAAAGGGACAAGGCAAGCTCCTTCCATATTTAATGGATGGGACCATATCCCCATCTTGTGCATGATGTTCCCTCTGAGCATAAGGTATGGGGGCAGATACACTGCATATCCTGAGGTCATCTTATTCAGGTCTGAAGGTCACCAAAATCCCAATGTATTTCACAACAATGGATTGGGGATCTTTACTATATACTTTTGAGGTAGGTCATTTGTTGCTTCTTCCTCACTCTTCTGATTACCAATATTTTTCTTTCTTTAAGGCTAATCTCGGAAGTGGAGTAAATAACCCATAGTTTCTTGCTTCCAGTATAAGAAACCCATCTGCTATTTTGGAGGAAATAGAGCCAGAGAGTTGCTTTGAACCTGGAAATGGAACTGCCATGAGTTGGAAAGCTACATACAACCCCGAAAAGAAGCCAAATAAATTTAATTAATTTAAAAAGAAAATCATAACGGCTTGATGGTCATTACAGTTAAATTGTTGTTTACAGGAATTTCACAGATAATTCAATCTGAACCTGCCTGCTTGTTGCACTCTAGAAAGAGAGACTATGTGACTTCTTTGTCAGTATTTGAAGAATATTATCATAGCCTCCCACAATCCTCTCTACTTAAGACTAAACATCATCAGTTTCCTCAATTTCATTTCATAAGGCTTAGTTTCTAACCTTATTATCCTCACAGCCCTTCTCTGAACCTGTTCCAATTTGTCTGAATTGGCACCACAGTTATACCACTTCCTTAAAGTGTGGTGCTCAGAACTGAAAGAGTATGCAGAATAAAGTGGAACTATTATTTCCCATTCTCTGGAAACTATGCTTCTGTAGTAACAGGTTACATTGTCACTTGCCATTTGCAGCTGCAACATACTGCTGACTCATATTCTGTTTGTGGTGACCTACTGTTCCAAGATTTTTTACACAAACATTATTACAAGCCAAGTATCTCCCATCCAATACTTCTGCATTTGATTTTTGTTTCCTAAATGAACAACTTTGCATTTAGATTTTTCCCTGTTACTTCATTTCTTGAACCTGTCAAGACCGTTTTAAATTTTTATCTGTCACCTAGAGTATGAAGTATTCCACCCAATTTTGTGTCATCTGCAGAACTGATAAGCAATAACTCACCTCTTAACATAAATTTTAAATTTTTAAAAATGATTTTTAAAAAATGAGTTCAGAACTGAGTGATATGGAACCCCTTTTGATTCTCCACCCAGTATGATAGGTAACTATCCACTGATTGGCTGGGAAGGAATGATGAGCCTGCTGACTTTTGTTCCTAAGGGAGGACTGGAAACTTGATCTCCCCACTCCTAGTCCAGTACCTTAACCACTACACCATACTGGCTGTCATTTATGCCTATTCATGGTTAACGTATACAATTTAATACAATAGTGGGGAAAGACCTGTCATTTTTCATCTGCGGGGTGAAGGCAGCCCTGTTCACCAAGGATGTTACCCACTAGATGTGCTGAGAGTTTAGATGCCAGAAATCACAGCTAGAACTGACCTTCAGGGTCAAGTGAAAGAAGGCTCAGCTAAAAGAGCACGTAATTTTAACTCTAACCCTATTTTTCCTCACAATGATAACACTGTCTGATGGGTGGGGCTGAGAAACAGTGACTGGCCCAAAGCTACCCAATAAGCTTCGGTCACCAAATGTGGACTAGAACATGGATTTCTCCACTTCTGGTCCAGCAACCTAACCAGTACACCACTGGTTAAAAGGAAAACCAAATTCTATCTTCAACTCTGATCTGGATACTCTTTTGCCCCCCAAATTGACTAATTCAATATATCATTTTTATTGTCTCTTCTCTACTTTGAGATGCGTCAGGGGAAAGCTATGGGTATTTCTGCTATTCTGCTAAGATATTTTTTAAATCATCTGGATTCTACAGTGCATGATGTTAGTCACCAAATGTTTGTGTGAGAACTGATGCTTACCTCTTTGTGACATTGTGAAGGCAAATATAATTAGGAGGAAGAGATTACGTTAAATTAGATTTGGAACTGAAGTGCAAATTTGTGGTAGCTTTGACCACAGAAGATAAAATGGAGGGGGCAATCCTGACATAGTTATAAGCTTCTCCTTTTTTTTTTTTCTTTTCCTCTTTTGCCTTTTCTGTACCTTTAAGGCTTTAGCTGAATCTATCTTTCCATAGTTTTAATGACACAGTTGCTCTTATGTTACACTTATCGCCTTCTTTTGTAAATTCCACCAATTGTCTTTTCCCTCCGATGTCAAACAATGATATCAAACACTCAACACTCCTACAAAGGTCTGGGCTATTTTCTAATTTTTTGGCATAAATAAGGATTTTAAATGCCTAACGTGGAATATAAATGGAACAAATGTACCTCAGAAAAGAAGAAATTTATTTCAGTACTTGAAAAAATTGAAACAAGATGTAGTTTGTTTACAAGAAACACACATTAGAAAAAAGGATATAAAATACTTGATTTGCAAAAATTCGGGTGAAGAATTTATTTCAGTGAGAGCCAAAAAGAGAAATGGAATTGTTTTGTATATAAACCCCCAATTATAATCAGAACTAAGATTGACTGATGATTATGGTAGATATGGGGGATTGAAGCTACTCTGCATGGGATCAAGACTCCAATAATGGGAATTTATGCTCCAGATGACGATATAATAACATTTTACAAAGGACTTGTAGATAAACTAATGGACTTACCATATGAAAGTTGGTGTTTAATGGGAGATTGGAATGGAGTTAATTTGTCCACAAAAAGATAGAATTTCTAAGAAAGATACTAAAATGACACAAGGTAAACTACCACAAGGTTGGTTTTTTTTTATATGATGGACAATTTAGAGCTTGTGGATGCATGGAGATATAAAAATGGTGATGCAAAAGAATATACTTATTTTTCTGAAAGACATAGATCTTTTTTAAGAATTGACATGTTTTGGATATCTAAGAATTTGGGTACTAGTGTTCACAAAGTAGAAATACTGCTAAAGATTTTTTCAGACCACAACCCAGTGACTTTAGCATTTAAAAGGAAAATCAGTTCCTTCAGATGGAGGTTAAGTGAAGTATTGTTGCAGAAAGAAATAGTAATGGAAGATTGCAAAAAGAAGTTGAAAGAATTTTTTGACAAAAATCTTAATAAAGGTATAAACGTAAGGAAGGTTTAGAATGCAAGTAAAGCTTTTATGAGGGGACATTTTATATAACAGAAAAACAAACTAAAAAAAAAAAAAAAGATTGTGCCCAAAAATGTATTTATGGGTCTCAGCACAAGAAGCATTTTATAAAAAAGAAACAGCAGGCAAAGAGAGATGGTTAACTTATGGAGAGTTGTTAAAAGAGCATGGAGAACATAAGATGAAATCAAGAGATCAATTGACTGCAGAGGGATTTAGTTTTCGATGGTTTTGGTATGCACAGTTAAGAGAAAGATTTAAGGTAAATAACAGGACATTTGGAATTAAACAGCACAAGACAGAATTTGAAACTGAACTATGTACAAATGATGAGCATGTAATTGCTAACATGTATAACCTTTTGTTGAGATTTGAAATAGAAGAAGAACAAGTGAAGGAGTATATGATAAAATGGGCTAAGAACTTTGGACATAATATACTGATGGAACAATGGGAAATATGTGGCTCTAAGAACTTAAATTTACATTATGTTATAATTTAAAAGAACTTTGTAAAATGATGTATCATTGGTACATGACTCCAGAAAACTATGAACTATGGAAAGAAGGAAATTATGTTGTAACCTTAGAGAGAGAGGGTAAAATATAAATGTAACTGCTGTTAAGAAGACCGGAAGCTGCTTTTTTATAACCTCTTTTCTTTTCTTTGTACTTTTTTCACATTTCTATCTATCTATCTATCTATCTATCTATCTATCTATCTATCTATCTATCTATCTATCTATCTATCTATCTAT